TGAGTCCTAGAACGTGAAGATCTGATCCTTAGATCAAAAGTTACTTAGGGTGGTTCATTTTTTTAGCGCATTGTACATATTTAAGTGTAGCTGCATAACCATACTAATGTAGACACATCGTGGTGGGCTTAGTGTGGACATGTCCGCTCTGACCCTATTCAATTTCTAATGGCAGAAATATGAATGGACGTTATTTATTTTCTAATTAGCTAAATGTAATTTATTAGAATATGTCTTAACAAACAATATTTTTAATCTGAAATAAAAAAATTAATTTAGCAGTCTTTATAATAATCTACTCTTTAAAGCAGAGGTTTCACCAAGTTTATTAAAAGAATATAATTTACAAATGAATTAAAGTAGAAAACATATTTTTTAATATCCATTTATTTGTTTGTCCTACATTTAACTGAAACAGAACATCTCTTAACAATACCGTTTTCTCTTTTGCTACTTGTTTACACTGCCCCAGTGACGCAAAATATCGCTTTAAGCCATAAACTTTGAGTGTTGTCCATTCACGCAGTTTGATCAACAAGTAAAAACAGGTTATTATAATTGATTTAGCTTAAAATTCGTTTTGTGTCTGTCAGTGTAGCAGAAGTAAACTATTTAAAACGTATCTTAAACCCGCAACAACAGCTACGCGTGTTGTTTTCGGAGAACGTGAATGACAAAATTACAATAGAAACTTCGTTACGACATTGAATTAATACAAGTTAACGAAATTTTATTTTATTTTATAACCCTCTGTGAATAGCCAATCCAATTTTAAATTTACGACAATCACGTTTAATGCCTTGTAATTTTGAGCCCAATCCAGAAGACAATGGAACTCCTGGATCACGCATTGAGAGAAATTCGCCTTCGTGGCGGAATTTTTGAAGGAGCTTACCCGTATTTGCGTTACGTTCAGAGGTAAATATGCAACAACCTCCCTCGGTTAGCCCGGCGGAAAAGGGATTTTAACTCATGATCCGGCTAAAACTGAGGATATTTTTCGACCTATAAAGTCGGTGCGAGTCGGGTTTGGAATTCGGCATTCATCAGCTATCGTTGGGATTCGAACCTGGAACACCTCCTAGAGGGTTGAGCGCGCTAGTGTTCTAGTCAAGTTTACAACGTTGTGCATTATGTTGGTATAGTGGAAGTTGTTTGTGAATAGTGGCTCAAAATTGTTTGTGAATAGTGGGATCAAAATATTAGCTGAATAGGACAATTCTATATAGGGCTTACATTTTCTAAATATTGGCTTTAAAATATTGATTGAATTGAACGATTTTATATAGAACTGATATTTGCAAAATAGAATGACCCCATAAAACTTATTCAACAAAAATTAATGAATACTTGGTCTAGTGCCGGTCCATTTTGTTACCGATGGCTGAAATATTTAGAATTTAAATATAAAACAGCAGTTTACGTGAACAGATATCTAAATAAGAATAAATTTAATTGATTATTTTAAATTTTAGAAATTTTATGACCCGTAAATTATTTCGATCTATATATTTTAAAATTTTGCAAAATTCGAACTGTTTAAAAATAATATTGCTATAACAACAGAAATTTGGAATTCATAGTAGAATATTTCAAATTTCTCAAAAAATTAATCTACAATTTAAAAGATTACACAATTTTATTTAGTCTTAGAAATATAAAATTTAAAATAAAGACGCTTTTTTGCAAAGTGAAACCGCAGATAAATCGCGTAAAAATTTGCTATGAATACGTGAATTAGTATAACGTCCTAACCAAACAAATAAGTAAAACATGTTAATAAGCTTAAAATATATAAATTTGTAATATTGCAATTTAAATTTTTTATCGCATTTTATATAAAATGTTAAACGTTTTTCCTTTCAAGAAATTAGTTTTGTTTATTGTTTACGTCACGCTAAACCTACACTAATGAGCTAATGGTGGCGTTACTCCAGACACTAAGATTTCCTTCTTATATTTCAGTGTCACTTGTGGAAGCTAGTATATGTGAGCATAACGCGCATGGAAGGTTTTGTCATAAGCTTTTCCCAACTTCTAATATCAAAGAATATGGGTTTGTACCTAATGAAGAAGAACTCTCTCAATTATGTCCGTAAGTTGCATCATTTGGCCATTCATTGTTGTGAAAAATTAATCTTAATTAGGCACTCGCACTTCAAGAAGAAGAGCTCCCATACCCACACATGTGACCTCTGACGTCAACTAATCTTTATCAGCAATATGATGTATTAAAGTTGAGCTAAGTTTCTCTACACAAGTTAGAATGTTAATCAATGATAAGTTAATTAAATACAGAACCGTATCGCACATCGAATTCATTGAAATATAATTCTTTCTCGTCTACATCTTTTATTTAACTTAGATTTATTATTTGTTTATGTATTTTATTGTAACCGTGATATATTTTTGTTTTGTGTACCTGGCAGCTTCGATGCATAAGTTTGTTTGTTTCACATGGCTATATTTAGTGAAAGAATTGAAATTTTTGAGAAAGAATCTTTGTGAAAGAATTTAGAATGCGTTACTTAAAAGAATCGATACTTGACGGGCTTGGCTTACTCGAAATAGAATGGAAAGTACTGTTGCTAACGTTAACAAACGCCAAATTTCAACCACCAATCAGGATCGAGATACCCACACTACGTCACTTGCAAGTATCCCATTAAGAAGGAATAAATGACAACATAAGGGGAGACATGAAAAGTTTTACCAACACTAATTTTTTGTACTTTAAAAATGCACGAATTAAAATATTTTTGTATTTCAAAAAATTATGCTCAGCACCAAATTAAAGCCCATTTTTTTCTGTTTATTAGATTAAAAAAGTTAGTAAAAATCACAAGTGATATACTATGAGTGCTTAGGTTAATGTACAGTACGAAAATAAACATGAAACAACCTGAGTAAATTTTAATCAAATGATTGGATATGCAGGTACCAGAACTCAGTCTTAATGTTTTAAAGGAGTTACCTGAAATATGCCAATTAATAAATGCAGATCCATTTTGAGTCACAAAATCACCGAAAATCACTTGATGTCTTTTTTTTCGACGTATTTGTATTTCGCACCCTCAAAACAAAGGAAATATGGAAAATATGGCCCTAATAGTTTGGTTTGAAGAGCTGTCTAAGATTAGGATCACTATTGTGAATTTTATTTTTAGCGTATATATAATACGTATATATATTTAGCGTAATTTTATTTTTAGCGTATAAAACATATTAAGCCTTTTAGAAAATCGCAATATACACGCCAATGTTTAAGAAAAATGCAACACTATGAAGAAATCGACAGAAATTTATAAAATTTAGTCATCATGCTATTGATAGTGGTGCAAATAAACGATCAAATTCACATGACAAAAAAAAGAACGGCGGAAATCAGTATTTTATGTGTAAACCACGCTGGTCAACGAGGGCCTGCGTTCGTCGTGACATTGAATCAAGCAGGTTCTGAATATAATTTTTGGTAATTGCATTCCATGTGGTTTTGAACTGACGCCAAAGTTCAGTCTTACTGTGTGATTTACTGTACATGACTTATCAGCTGTACGAGCAAGAAGCCGACCGTTGAAATCGAAGACATGTTCAACGGATGATATATCTAGGGGATATGCGGGCCATGGAAGAAGCGATACCAACTGTTCAGTAAAGAAGGCTAGTGCAGTCTTAGAAACACTTGCATGGTCATAATCCTGCTGAAATACAGCGGTTCCTGGAATGCATCGAATAATTGGAAAGACCTTTGGATTCACAATTTCCCTTATGTCATGATCATTGTTCAGGTTGCCCGCAATTTGCCACTCAATGGGATCGACAATTATACCCAATAACTTCTCAGACCATAATGCTGGCGTTTGTGCGATATGCGGTTGCACAATACACTGTGGGGGCTGACGTTTCCCTCTGTAGCGTATGACGCGTACACTTACATCATTGCACTCTAGAATGCAGCGAGATTCGTCGGAGAAAACAATTTGATGCCCTTGAGCACACTATGGACTGTGTTGCTGACCCCATTGAAGTCGGAGGAGCCGGTGATTGAAAAACAGAGGAATACTGGGAAGAGAAATCTTTTCACGCAGTTGATGCTGCAGCAGATAGCTACGAGCAGTCAAACTTGAAAACAAAACACCTGTAGCTATTCTCCAGCGTTTTGCTAATCTACGAAAAGACTCTATACGGTCCGTCATAGCGATGCGGATGAGGTGTTTATCATCCCAAACTATTGTACAGTGGCGTAAGTACTACTACAATTATTAAACATTAATTCACATACATATAATATATGTTAACTCGATTCCATCTTGGAGTACCTTTAGATGGATGGAGGTTGGCATACTCGGTAACCGCTCCCCCTACATAATACCCCGTGATATGAACTCGCCTACATCGAAAGTAACCCCAAATTCGATTAATGGTCCACACTGAACAGTTGACTTGCTATTTGTGACTGAGTTATCATCCTAATCACGCTGTTACAACTCAGTCTCTGTGACACACAGCGGGATCCTACACACACTAGACTGCTACTAGCAACACAGGAGTGACTACAAACACAACCAAAAACTTAATACAGCTCTCACCACAAACACTTAAAATCCGGTGATCTTAATACACCTTTCCCCAAAATTACATTGTATCAACTAGTGATATCCGATCATCGAATTCGATCCCAGATAAAATTCTAGTATAGCAGTATTGAGGCCATCAAATACCATTACAATTATTAAACATCACTTCACTAGTGTATAAGACACATTAACTCGATTCTATATTTGGGTACCGTTAGATAGATGAAGGTTGGCATAGTCGGTAACCTTTCCTCTCACAGAACTATTGCGTTCTCCACTGCCAGGTTCTCACCCTGTTTGTGTTTCCTGTGTTCCCTTTTTTCCAAACAGGCACTGCTGTTGAGGCATTACACAGCGTGTTGGCTGCAATTCCCGATACGAAAATCTTTACAGCTTTTATTTTTAAAGCTTTTTTATGTATAAATGGAGCAAGCGACTGATAAGAAGTCAGATCTCGCTCCGCACATGCGCAATCGCTTTGTAATTCTAATCACTTGCCTCTCTTACCTCACTTTATATTTCATGTAAATTGGATTCAATTCGCATAACTCCTTCTTAGTGTTGAAGTTTTCATAAACATGAGTGTATTTTAACTCGAATATAAAAACTATCAAAACCAATTATGTTTCAAAGATGAAAAAATTAAGTCGCAAATGCTTTTTATTTCCTCAAAATAGTGACTTTTCTTCATATTGACATTTTGCGCCATTTTTAGAATCAATATACAGGTTGCTTGTTGATTATTCATGAATAACTGTTGCACAAATTTACAGCTGTTTAAAAATTAGCTTATTATGCGCTAAAAAATTTTTCATTTGACAATTTTTCATGTTTGAAGAAACTTTTAGATTAGATTTGTTTGTTTTTTCCAACAGTAAAGAAATATCTTATGTTTTCTTAGATTCAATTTTTGTTTGTAACGTTCCTTTATACATTTAGTTATTGCTGTAAATTTTTAATTGTTCTTTTACTTTTCATTGGTCAAACTTATGTCATAGTAGGACAAATCACCGGCAAGTGAGAAGGTTTGTCCCCGTGTGTACGTAGACAATATATAATAAAAAATCGTAGTTTAAGTAAAAAGTAATAACGGTAACAAATGACAAAAATTATAATTTATAAAATAACGAAAAACTAAAAAAATTATATTAAAATAAAGAACATAAATGTTTTATGCAAAACGATGACAAAAAATCTTTGTAGTTTCTAAAATGACTTTTATATTATTCCATGTGTTCCAAAATGCTCTTTAAAGAAACATTTGAAAACGGTTAACTCTAAAAAACCAGTAATTTTCATTCGATCATCTAAACAATAATACAATTGCTTTCGAGAAACCAATGCTTATAAAATAAATAAATAAATGCTTAAAAAATAGCAGATATCAACATTTTGTTGATCGAAACTCCATTTATTTTGTTTTCATACACGTTTCAAAAAATAATCATTCAAAATTTAATTCCCAATGTAAATATCGAAAATAAGTTTTACTCAGTCTTAAGGCAATTCACTATTTTTTTTCCTCTGTTAGCTCAATATTTTTAGAAGCTTTAAGCTGAAGCTTTTTTATACTGTTTCATACATAATAACATAAAAAAGCATATATTCGCAAACTTTGCCTAAATTTACATAAAATTAGTTTACTGCAGTATTGTTTTACATTTATTTTCAAGAAAATAATTTTAAAAACCATTTTTGCAAACTTTACTTAAAAACGAATAAAAGAAGTAAACGGCAGAATTGTTTTTTGTATATTATTTCAAAATTAATAATATCGAGAAAAAAAACTCGCAGTCTTTAAGTACATAAAATTTTCAATTCACGTCTTGATTAATTTTGTTTTGTTTTATAACCAGCGTTGACACATATTGAATTTATGGCTGCATTAATGTTTAACTTAGTAAACTGCTAATGTTAACTTCGAATTCTACTCAGGAAACAGGAGAACTCCTATATCAAGCATTGGGGTAAATTTTCCTACGTGAAGGCTTTTATAGATGGAAAACATTTTCGCAACTGAGAGAAAGGAATGATTTGAACTCCCACTGCTTGACCGACCGGTGTAAGGGAGGAGCAGTATACTAATTGACCGTCCATTGCTAAGATTCGAACCTGGGTCGTATATGGAGAGAAAAGTTCTCCATGCTTTGATCCATCACGGGGGCTAACTTTATTTTGACTGTAAAACCCGGTTTCAAATTTTAATTACTACGTCAAATACAATAGCGGTCAAGCATATACGGTTTCAAGATCGAACTTATTTCCATAAATCTCCTGAGAACAGAAAATTTAACTGCATTTCTGTGGTTAAGTTTGTTATAGTTTGTTGTAGCTATATTTCAATCGCTTAATTTAGACATGTTTGCTTCTAAACTTTCTAACAATACGTTATTCTATTGACAGGAAAGTCTTGCTTTACTTTGATTGTTTAAAGAGCTTCATAGTAATTTACTGTCCGAATGATTCTGGCATAATAGAGTCAACATTTTCAACACACGCTGTAGCAAGAGAACTTTGCTCAGTTCAATCAAGGTTGCATAAAGGTAAATATATCGCAATTCTTGCTTTAAAAATATTTAAGCATTCATTTAATGACATTATTTACTTACGTTTAATTTTTTTTAGATATTTGAAAGCGTATTGACTATAACATTTTAGCAATACAATAATTTCTTAAGAAGTTAGGCTTAAAAATAAAATAAAAAAACATCTTCTCTCCACTTCTGACTCTAAGTTCTTATTGATGCCGATTATCTGGAAAATGATCTCAATTCTACCCAGCTTCGGCATTGCGCATGGAAATTTATCTTGTTTTGATTTGCCTCCTATTGCCACCGCAGCTTAACTAAGTAATTTAAAATTTTATTATTCACTTGTCGTCCACGCTATTGTGAGCGTCGTATTTTGGGCGTTATATATTATTACTAATAATGAGCAATTAAAAAAAAGAGCACTGATACATACTCACATAGAATAATCGGATTCTGATCTCCAGACTACTTCAATTGAAAAGGGGATTTCCTTTAAAAGGTTTCTCCAGTGAAGGTAGGTGTAAAGATGCATGTTAAATTAAAATGAGTTCAATATTTTTGATGTTTTTTAAAAGTGAAAATGTACAGTGCTAAAAATAAAAAGAAGACCACCCTGAATAACTTTTTTGATCACATCTTCACATTCTAGTGACTCCATCTTAATGGCTTGAAGGGGTGATCTCAAATATGCAAATTAATTAGTGCAGATGATATTTTAAGTCATGAAATCACACACAAAACGTACTTTCTCTGAATAAGCATACCTCTTTTTTCAACGGATTCAGATTTTTGAACCCCAGAATACAGGGTAGGGTAGCAGCAATCTGGGAAATATGGTCCTCATAGTTTGGTCAGGAGAGCGATTCAAAGTTTGAACCCTCTAATCTTAATTTTATTTTTTGCTTATTTCGCCATACCTCGAAAACTTCTATAGCGAATTGAAAAATCCTTGTGCATAGTTATAAAATTCATTTTTGCAAAGATAATTCCATGCAAAAAAAATTTAGTAAGTGTTTACCATTTTTTATTATTTTATTTAATAAGAGTCGTAAAACTTTTGAATTATGAAGTATGTAAATTTTGACAGAATTTTCAAGTATCTAATTTTACATGGCAGAATACAAACTTCAGCGAAATCGGTTGATTAGTTCCTGAGAAATCAAATGTTGAATATTTTACTTTTTTTTAAATTTAATTTCTCAGGAACTATCCAGCCGATTTCTCTTAAATTTTTGTATTTTGCCATGTAAAAGGAGATACTTTAAAGTTATGTAAGCAATTGTATACCTTACAATTCAAAATTTTTTTTCGACTATTGCTATATAATATAATGAAAAACAGTAAATATTTACTAAAACTCGTGAATTTATCTTTGGATAAACGAATTAATAACTGCGCTCAAAGAATTTTCAATTCTCTTAAGAAGTTCTCGAGATAGGACGAAATACGCAAAAAGATAAATTAGCATTAAGGGGTCAAAATTTTGCTCCCCTCTCCTGACCAAACAAACTATACAGACCCTATTTCCCAGATTGTGGCTAGCTCCTATGTTTTGGGGGTCAAAAATTCGAATACGTCGAAAAAAAGACACGTTTATTTAGAAAATGTACGTTTTTGTGTCTGATTTCGCAACTTAAAATATCGTCTGCACTAATTAAGTAGCATATTTTATGTCACTCCCTCAAATCAAACCTCATCATTAGATCAAAAGTTATTCAGAGTGGTCCATTTGCTCCAATAATTAAAAAAAAACAGTGTTTTTTTAAAAATTGAAGTAGAAAAACTATTTGAAATAAGTTCTTTAATTTACGTCAACCAAAATACTGAAACTGATACAAAAAGTGAAATATTTTTCTTCCATTCTTTAAATTTAATTTGATAAAGAATACAAAAAATGTGCGGCCATTATGAAGTGTACAAGAAAAAGTGTTTTCTCGGGGGGAAATGACTAGGCAATAATGCAATACAATAGTTTCTTCAAAAAGTAACATCGTTATTGTAGCCGATGTTCGACTCAACCTATACCACCTAAAACACATGTAAAGGTGAAAAACAGAAGATTTTAGTATGATTATGGATGGTGTTCGAAAAAAATCTCATTTGTTGAGTTCTTAAGATCGCCATTTATCTAATTTTCAATATAAATCGAGAGAATACTTTATGTTTTATGCACTCTTTTTTTTGTAATAAATTGGTCTATGAATAACCACGATCCAAGATTCTTAACATTTAATATATTATGGTACTAAGTTATTTAATATGTTATAGTACTGTTCCAAACCAGGACTCTTTTTTAGATTGTTTCAATTTTTATTTAAATTTCATTTTTTTTTTAATTTTATTTATTCAATTTCCAGATAACACTGTTGTGCTTCTGAGTCTTAAAAATTTGACCGACCTCTAGTGATTTATACCGGTCACATTAGATGTAATGACAATTAACATCATTATAATTGTCATCATGGAGCGGTGATGGCTCAAGGGATAGAGCGTTCGTCTTCCAATGAGGTGAACCGGGTTCAAATCCCAGCGATAGCTGGTCGATACGAATTCCGCATACGGCTTGCACCGACCACCGTGCTGATGTAAAATATCCTCAGCGGTAGATGGATAATGAGTTAGAACCCCTTGCTGTCAGGTCAACCGTGGAAGGTTTTCGTGGTTTTCCTCTCCATGTAACGCAAATGCGGGTTAGTTCCATCAAAAAAGTCCTCCACGAAAGCAATTTTCTGACTATACATGATCCATGAGATTCCTTGTCTTCTGGATTGGGTTCAAAATGACAAGGATACGGAGTTGAACATTAGTAGTCGTAAGCCCTAAATTGGGTCGGCTGTTCAACGACGGTTATAAAATAAAATAAAATTGTCATTATTACAATTGTTATGTTCTAGTCTCTGATTTAAAGTACGTCTTACATTAAATTAAAGACTTTTTCTTTAATATTTCCAAAATTTTGTTTTAATTTCCTTTATAAAATTTAATTTTGTTATAAAAATTTTGCACGTGCGTATGAAAAATTTACATTGTATACTTTACATTTTATTGTGAATAAATTATAAATTCATTATTCAATTTCATAAAGGATATATTAAAAGTGTTCCTTGTTACAAGAGCATACAAAAGCTCGGAATACCCTCCCAATGCGGTCAAAAGGCGGAAACTGTATACAATGGTTACTTACAAGATGCCAATGAGGATTACGATGTGTTAGAAGATTCTGATCGAAATCGGCATAGATATTGTATGTAAGTAATACCCTATTTAAATAAAATGTAAAAACCTTTATATTAGTAATAAATGATAGCGTTAGAAGATTTTTTTATCGAAATCGTCATAGTATACGTAAGTAATACCTTATGTAAGTGAACATCTTTCTATTAGTCAAATAGTGTTAGAAGATTCCAATCGAAATCGTCATAGACATTGTATGCAAGTAACGCCCTATTTAAATTTTAAAAAGAAAACCTTTATATCAGTGATGGATGATAGGTCTAGAAGATTCTGATCAAAATCGTCATAGATAGATGTACGTACGTAATATCCTATTTAAATAAATATGTGTTAGAAGAAAGAGAGTTAGATAATTCTGATCGAAATCATCATAGATATTGTGTGTAAGTAATATTCTATTTACATAAAAAAAACTTTATGTTAGTAGTAAATGATAACGTTAGAAGATTTTTATCGAAATCTCCATAGTGTATGTAAGTAATAAAACAATTTTAAGTAAATATCTTTCTATTAGTCAATAGTGTTAGAAGATTCCAATCGAAATCGTCATAGACATTATATGTAAGTAATATCCTATTCAAATTTTAAAAAAAAAGAATTTTATATTATTGATGAATGATAGAGCTAGAAGATTCTGATCTAAATCTTCATAGTGTTCGTACGTAATATCCTATTTAAATAAATATCTGTTAGAAGAGAGAAAATTAAATAATTCTGATCGAAATCATCATAGATATTGTATGTAAGTTATACCCTATTTAATTAAACAAAACTCTTTCTATTAGTGATAAATGATAGTGTTATACTCCGTTTCATCTCAAGTTGGCCTTGAGCAGAAAGGCAGATAGACCGATAGTTAGTTGGAGGCATAAGGTAGCAAAAAAGGAGAGAAAGTGGCCAGTATTGGCGTTAAAGAAAACAAAGGGTCGATTTTTTTTTTCTTTTACTAATAATTACTAAAAATTTTTACGAAATACAGAAAAGAACAAGATTTAAGATTTTTTTAGAACATTTCTAATAATAATTGATTTGAGATAGTAATTGAAAGCTGATTTCGTATTATGATTTTTAAAAAACAGATAGTATTCCTATTATTTTTTAACTAAACGAAACTAATTCTAAACGAAACAAAATTATATTTAAAAGGAATTTTTTTTTATTAAATCTAAGTTAAAAAAAATACACAGGTGCTCACAAATATTTTACCTTAGATATTTATTTTTCTATGCAACCTTTTTTTTATAGATTATTTTGTAGATATTTTTTATAAATGGATTATTTTTATAGATAGATTATTACATCATGTAGAAACTAAGAACTGAATTGTTCTAAACGTCCATTGTCGAAAGAACGTTAAGTTGAGAATTAAATCAATCTTCATTTACTCCATGTGGTAAAAGTCACCCAATTTCTTTTCTCACAAAGATCTTACAAATACTTTACAATTAGGGAAAAAAACATCTTACAATTGTTTTTACAATTTTAAATCTGTAACAGTTGTACGGCTTTCTTGTTGGTAATGAATCTAAAAATTTGCACAAAGAGTCTTGTTTTTCAAATACCAATTACTTAATCTAAATAATCTGTTTCAGTGAGGAAGCATACAAGATGGCCTGCATTTCTCAAAATATATTTGAGGTTTGTGATGAAGCTGCCCAAAATACATTTGATGAACTGATTGTAAAGTCTAAAGCTCTAAGAAGGGTATGCACACAAGCCAACATTGTTGAACTACGTACCGATTTTATAGACTTTCTGTTCATTGATGAAGAAGATGAAGACCATTTACGAACATTTTTTGATTTTTAGAAAAAAACTTAATTCTGATCACTAATATTAGCACTAATATAGTAAATCCTATCGCTCTAGCAAATAAGCATTTCTTCATCAATTGGAGAATAAATCTATAAATCTGTAGCATTTTCTCTTGTTTTATAAAATACTGCATTTCCATGCAAGTGCTAGATCGTCTGTAAAATTTTCTCAATTACTTTTTGCTTTTGCATTTGATAATTACATGGGCAGAATCATTTTTTAGGCAAATAGACATCAACTGCATGTTTGAAAAAAAGCCTGACTGACGCTATAAGGGTTAAATGCATTTTACAGCATTACAAATCATCCCTTAGAATAATAACTCTAACTTTACAAAATAACAGGTCACTTTATTAGGTCATTTAGGATGCATACATATACTAACTGTTAAAATAAAATTAGTTTGTAAATCAAACATACGCATAGCAGATAGAGTATTAGGGTGAATTCGAACTAGGCTTAACAAAGAAGGAGTAGATGATATGGTATTTTTTTTTATTTACGTCTCACTAGACCTGCACAGTGGGCTATTGGCGAAGGTTTGAAAAACATCCCTGAGCATGATCCGAAGACATGCCATCGCAAATTTTGATCCTCTGCAGAGGGGATGACTCCCCCGCTTTAGCAGCCGGACGACCTGCCCGCTGATTCGAGCACTTTACAGTAGAACAGTTTAATGAGGACCGATACTGCGCACCCACGGTCCCTACACAGGCTGATCAAAGTGGTCACCCACCCGCTTACTGATCGCAGCCAGTGATGCTTGACTTCGGTCTTCTACTGGTAACCGTGTGTTTATAATCAGTCCTCTGCGGGATGAGCAGGAGCAGACAGAAATCATACATTATAAAATTAATACAGTTTACAATATCTAAAAATTAAAATATCCGTATTACAAAACTAAATACAGAGATACATATTTCTAACGTCGAACTTACGGTTATGCAGATGAAAAGCAACATCGAAGACATCCTCCATTACTCTCCAATTCGTTATCGATCGTAGACAATTAAAGACGAAATCAAAACGAGCCAACGTTTTGATTTCGAGCCATCAAAACGAGTTTTCGGAAGTGAAAATATTTAACTTATGGTGTAAAGTTGAGTGATCTTGGTGTCAACTTTTTGTACTTTCGGTGTTTGTAGCTTTCATGCACGCTTTAAATTGTATATAAAAGTTTTACTTGGACATTAAAAAAAGTATTCTTTCACGCTCAAGAAATTCGGAGAGATATTACGCCACAGATTTTACAGTGTATTCTCCCAGTTTTCAATGGTTAGATTATTTGAATTATTTATTCAGACACAAGTAAGCAAGTGGGGTATTATTTCCAATAAGTTGTTTTACGCTGAACTGAATCAGATTAATCAAGAATAAAAATCGAATAAAAAGTTCGGAAGATGAAAGAGTTTTTATGTATATAACTTACTTTGACATGTATTTATGTACAAACCTTACATTCTTATCTAGGAACTATCGAAGCATGCAGGTTATTGTTTCTGATGTAATTTTTTCACACTGAATTAAATGAAACCAATTCCGAGGCGATCAGACTAATAGCGTATAAATTATAAGTGCTTCAATCACAAAAATTTAATTTTGCACTTACACTTATTTCCACATCCACATTGCTATTTAGACAAGTGAAGTATTGTTTCCTGTGTATTTTTTTCTCGTTTAATGGAATGAGACCAAACATAAGTCGAAAAGTTACTTAAAATACTTTTTTTCCGATCAGCCATTGTAGGGACAGGGGGTGCGCGGTGTCGATCCCCGTTAAACTGTTCTACCGCAAAGTGCTCGACTTCACACCCACGTCATCGGGTCGCCAAAGCAGAGGAGCCATCCCCTCTGCAAATAATCAAAATTGTGATGGCATGTCTTCGGACCATCCTGAGGGATGTTTGCCAGACCATAGCCCATTGTGCAGTTCTAGTGCGACGTCAATAAAGTACCTACCTACCGCTTTGCTTTTTTCTCACAAAATGTATTATTTTTGAACTGCACTTATAATGAAAAAATTATTATGCTGTCAAAACTACTAATCATATCAACTCGAATTTTATCCCATTCTATTCTGTATAAAAGTTTTCATCAGAAAATAAATTTCGCATGTTAAGATAGCCTTAGATAGCAAAGCAAAAAGTCTACATAAATATGTATCAAAAGTTGCACCGTTTATGCACAAAAATACTAGACACTATCAGCATATCAAAAATACTAGGCACTATTCAGCATAGCAACGATTCACCAAGAAAAACGTCCTGCGTGCTTAAATAGATATACCAGATAAGGAAAGATGTAGGTACAAGGTAAGGTAAAGATTTGCCTCAACCCACCTTATTAAAGGGCACGCGAGGAGTAATATCAACCTGCTAAAGATTACACAAAAAAAGAAAAGCAAAAAGTAGTTATGTTCAACGTCTATACAGCTGTGCACATATCAAGCCATGAAAATTCTCTGAGTATATAAACATTTAAAAAATTTATAAATACAGTAATAATGGAAATAAGATCACAGAACAACTGAAGTCAATGTCATTCATAAATCAGAAGGTCAAAGAACCCTCATAAATTTCAAATGAATAAAACCACTCAAGATATAAAAATCCAAGACCAAATTATGCAATTTAAAACCAGTTAATAAAGAAACTCCGATCAAAAGGGATCGCTAAGGCCAACTGGCCCTTATAAAATTATTAAAAGTACTAAAAAGTCAGAAGACGCTTATAAATTTAAAACCCAAAAATTAATAAATATTACACATTAAAAACCATTAGTAAAAAAAATGCAAAGATGTAAACTTGCTAAGATAATAAAGATAGGAGCACATGATAAAGAACTCTGAATATCTCAGATAAAAACTGCAAAAAGATAAAGTTAAAAGTTAAATCACAAAAGGGAAGCTAAAAGTATGGTATTGTAGAAGCAGTAGCTAAAACAACATATTGTAAAAACAATAAAGGTTAAAATTGTACAAGGTAAAAGGTTGAAGGCTGAAACCAATTAAGACCATTAAGAGAGACACCCAAGATGGAAATCGCAGGTTCCGACATTATGATATGTTGTTGGCCAGAACATCCTCTAATGTATTTTTGATTTTTTTTTAATGATGTCTCTACTCCAGGTCAACTTAGAAAACTCTAGTGTTGAGATTGGCTAATAAAGTGGTTTCTGCGGAGTGACTGTAAGTAGGTGCAGTCCATAATTAAGTGTTCGATTATTTGATATTCCCCACAATAATGACAGTCTGAGCTCTTATTAAACATATTTAATTGGTGTTCTCCAAACACTCCGTGGCCAGTTAAGAATTGATTCAGGTCTCTTTGTAGCTGAGTCCTTAGAAAATTTAAATATTTGTCGACCTTTCTCGGTACCCTGCCATTTCTGTTTCCATCTCCTCATATTATGGGTTTTAATAAATGTTCTGATCAGGGCTTTCGAACTTGGGACCTCTGAGTCAATTTGACAGAGACTGATGGCCCTCTTGGCCGCTTCCTCATTGCCCTGTATGCCTATATGAGCCTTGACCCAGTTACATTCAATGTTTGATCGCCATAGTCGTTTAATGTGTTCGATGAGGTGTGAAGAGGGTGCTGGGTCAGCTAATGCCTGCAGTGAGAAGAGTGAATCAGAGTAGATAACAGCATCAGGGTAGTTTATGTCGGCAAGCCAAGAGAGAGCATGTTTGATTGCCATCATCTCTGCCCTTAAAACACTACTGTTATTCGAAATTCTGGTGGAGGCCGTCTTAACAAAATTCCATCATTTTTAATTACAATCCCAAAATCTGTTCTGTAATGGTAGTTTTTCTCGCTTATTTCATCGGCAACCTCCATCCTAGAACCGTCTGTAAATATTTCAACACCACTGTTGGTTGGCAGTGATCTACCCCAGGGCACAGACATAAATTGTGGTTGGTGAGGCCTGTCTGGGGGTTCTATTAACTGGGTGATTTGCATGTACTGATGTATAGTTGGATAAGGATCAGTCATTTTCTAACCCCATTTTACACTTTTGAAACAAATGTCCTCCTGAATTTTTAAGTGGATAGGCTACACCCCCGCCAGTATCTGGAGAGCCTCTGCGTTGGTTGTTGAATACGCTTTTGTAATAGTTATGAGAGAGGATCAAGATGCAGGTACAGACAAATTTGTACTTTTTTGAAATAAGCCATTATAACTCCTAAACTATTGATCAGAGTGTCTCACGAATGGTCGCGTTCGCCTGCATGTGTATGAGTCCGATTCACAGTGAATCGAAAGTTCAAAAGTAATTTTTCACACTGCATTAGGTAGGTACTTTATTCACGTCGCATTAGAGCTGCGCAATGGGCTATTGGGGACGATCTGGGAAACATCAATGAGGATGATCCGAAGACATGCCACCTCACTTTCACATTGCATTAGGAGTTTTTAACGCTATAATAATGCCTCACTTGTCTACCCAGAAAGAAAATCAATTCTTCTCTTCGAATTATTTCCTTTTTCCTCAAAGGGAGAAGCGCACAGAGAAAAAGTTATTTATGAGGACACAAAGCTTTCTATGAAAAAATCTTAGGAATTGTTTTTTCCCAAAGAAAAATTCTAATTTTGCTAAACTGTCTGCTCTATTTAACAAAAGGTTACAAGTCATTGAAAGCAAGCCTGAACGTAATGTATGTGTACAAATGAAGTAAAGCCAAAACCCAGAAACAGTACATATCCAGTATGTGCGAATGGGTTACATAAAGTTAAGCAATAAATGCTACCAAGAACAATAGCGAGGTTAATCTAAATCAATTAGACTTTTATACTGCCGAAGTCTTAAGTTTTCCGATTCATATCGATCAAGGTCAACCTGGAAAGAAATGAACAGGGGTGGTAGATATTTCTACCGGGTTCGAATCTTAGAAATGGCTGATTGATTCGAATTCCGCACCCGGCTCGCACCAGCTACAATGCTGACGCAAAAATATCCTCAGTAGTAGACGGATCGTGGGTTGGAGTCCCCTTGCTGCCAGGCTAACCTCTGGGGATTTTCGTGGTTTTCCTCTCCCTGCAACGCAAATGGGAAATTGTTCCAACAAAAAGTTCTTCACGAAGGCAAATTTCTCCCAATACTTGTTCAAGGGTTCCCTTGTTTTCTGGATCTGATTGAAAATTACAAGGCTACGGAGGTAAACATTGGTCGGCTGTTCAACGACGGTTATGAATAAATATACAATTACATGATACATATACATGAAATATATTTTTAATAAGTATTTACTATTATGCATATATCTGTTTTACTTTAATGGAAAAAGCGAATTTTCTTTTTATCTCCCTTAATAATTTAAAATCATTTCAAACTTAGATTACTATTACCTTGCTATTCAATTATTTCCTTGACAATTCATTTTTCAATGAATAATGATATTGTGGATTATTGTTCTATTACTCAACCTAAGTATTAGTCATTTAATTATCCTAACATTCAATAATTCATTATTAGACTAATTTTAATTTAGTCATTAATATTTTATTAAATTTGTGGCTAAAATTCAAAGTTAATGTTATAAATAAATGAATTAGAAAGTTGTTGAATAAATGACCCACATGAATTAAATTCTTGCAAAAATTATTGATTTTCACTAATTATTGGGTTTTATTCTTTTCCTTTGAGTATTAAATAGTCAAAAATGAAATACATGTTAATTTTTACTTCTTGAGATGATTGTGAATCGTCCAGAAATTTTTTGTATTTCAAGATTGCGTTGCTCCCCCCCCCCGCTTTACATATACTTTATATATTATTATTAGAATTATACGAACCATTAAATGCTCAAGCTACTTTCTAAACGATAAACAAGATGTACAGAAATCAACAAGTTTTGATATATTTCTGGAATACTTGTCAAAAGCTAATTCGAAGAAGTATACACATTATGGATCAAAGTTTAAGCTAGGACAAAACAAAATCTTTATCGAAAATCTCTAGTCCCGCGTGAGAAAAACTAAGTTATGAAAAAAAGATATATTTGGTTGCGTCATTAAATAATTAGGTGCAACTAATAATCTGCTTTTAACCGATAAAGCGTTATTAAACAGTAAATGTTCACATAATCTAGTTTTGATCACATAATCTAGTGCGAAATAGTAACAAGTGGATATTTCACTTCACTCTATAAAGAACAGACAGTCTTCAATAAACGTAGACTAAGTTAATCTTCTAAAGCAGGATGTAACGCTGAATCTGTTCAACTACTTCCCTATATCAAACAGGTTTTGATATTTTAAGTCTTTCCTTCCTCACTAGTGATTAAACAGACTTCGCGTTCTTATTTTTACCTTGTGTGAATATTAGCAGTTTTCTGCCTCTAATGCGTAGTATTCTACTTCATTTTTAACTCGAACGATTCTGGAAACATAAATTAAAAACTGTCAATGATACACCCATGTGTTGGAAGTTTCATTCACATGCAAAACTGTTTTTTTAACCAATCATAAGAAACTAAATAGGAAGAAAAGTTTTATTTTATATTAGTTAGATAAAAGCATCGAATTTTAACGTTAAAACATTCATCGTTCTTCAAAAAGCAAAATCCTATGGGTCTATATGGTATCCACCTCCAGTCTCCATTTCAAATTTACGAACTTCAACTGCATAATCCATTTGGAGATCTCTGTTCTTAATCTTTCCTGTTACAATACCTTCCAGTATTTGTGCGACGCCTTCCAGAGACTTCTGGTGGTGTTCTTCAGTGTTACAGTATAGAAGATAAAAGTGAGATCGGTTGATGATGTCATTGTACAATCTCAATCCATCTGCTCCACAAAAGTCTTGAACCAAGTTCGAATATCTGTGCAGAAGTTGAGTACCAGCTCTGGAAAGAGAAGCAAAATTTGAATGGCTTGTCGAATATTCCCTCTATCAAATGTAAATTTAGAACAATCGAATTTATCCCTTTGACACAGAAATTTTATTAAACATTTTGTTTCATTATTTAGCATTAATTTATTTTTAACAAAGCTGAGAGTTATTGTATATATTGTTATAAAATACGGTATGAAACATGGGTGTTTTTTCTGAGTATAAGGTAAAATCTTCCAAATAAGAGTCACTTTTAAACAAAAATTTTTCAATCTGAATTTATTTAGATCTAGAAGAAATTAAATTTCTTTAATTTACAAAATAAATTGTTACAGTTTTGAATATGAATAAAAAAAGTTTTTTTCAAACAATTTTTTGGGGAGATTTTATATGTTTGAACAAATATTCGATTTTTATTGTCTATATTTGAACCTTATTGGCTCGTTAAATCTCTAAATTTTTATTCTCAGGTCTTTAAAATCGAAGTTAGTTATTTTTTCGCATGCTGACTGACGAAACAACTTTAAATTCATTTTCAGAAACCTGTTGATTTTGAGGAAATCTCTTTACGCGCACACACATTGTAAAAAGTTTAGTATAGAATTCATCGAAACTTTGTAGATTTTGTATATTGTTAGGTATGATTTGAACTAAAAGCTAGGGTCTAAATTAATACTATTTTAGCATGCTCTGGTAAGAATGCTGAAAACATTTCTTTAAAAAAAAATCAATCTTGAACAATATATTTAGTTCCTATTTCATTTTATATTTGAAATTTGGTGAAAAGATTTAATTCAAAATACAGATAACCCCAAAATTAATCTAGAAATCTTTTTTGATTTTTATGCATTACTTTTTGTTGTTTAGCTGTTTTGCTTAAATTTGTCCTTGCTTTAAAAAAATTATGAAGTTTGTTAAATTTGTAATTTTCGGACCAAAAATAAATTTTAATTGCTGCAAAGAAATGTGTCAGACAAAGTTTGATACCTTAACTACTTTCCACAACAAAGTTATGATCTTTATAAATTTGTCATTTTTTTTCCAGATTGCGCGTCTTTTCACCCATTCTCCATGTTTTTAAATAACTTTTTTTTCAAAGCAAGTAGCGAAAAAAATTAAAATATTCTAAAAATAAAACTATTAAAGTTTTATCGAACGAAATCTAGATTTTTATCGTAATGAAATGATAGTAAAAAAACACTTACATGCAGAATTTCAAACTTTCAGCTTTAGCTGTATTTTCGGCTACTTTATAATACAGACTAGCCATTTTTCTTGCAGAATACTCACATTCGTCGTAGTATATTGTCACGTGACTGAAGCAGGGGGCATGTTTCAGATACTCTAAAATTACAAACAAATGAAATGTAATCAGCATGTCAAACATCAGTATCTTGTTAACACTGCTATATAATTGAAGAATATGAAACAATGACTTTAACAAACTGTTCCTTTATATTTTTCCACGTAGGTACTTTACAAGCTTAAAGACATCCTACTAAGTAACATCACAATGCGCGAAAGAAGCTCATTTAAATCCCCGTGTTTTTAAATCAAAAATACTCTTATTAACAGGCTAAAATGGTAGCTATTTTATTAGCTTAGCCGTTCAATTAAGCGAAAAAGCAACAGAAAGAAGCTTTGTTTGAACAAAAATAATTTTGTGGAAGAGAGAGTTACGATTTTGAGTAAACCATTGCATAGATTATCCCGCAAATATTTTCTAAAACTGCAGTAATAATATTTCTTAAAATAAACTGCTGTCATTATACTTGAAAAACAGTTTAAATTCGTACTGATATGAATAATTACCGTAGCAAACTAGAATTGGATTTTGTATTATACTAAAGCGATTGAGGTTTATATTTTAGCTTCATTTTATTTTAGCTATACCTACGTATGAAAACCTTATTTAACACGAGCAATTTCAGTTGTCCATTTAAGGCACTAGGGGTGCGATTGTTTGTTTTCCAGTAGAGTCATCTATAGCCAAGGATTAAACTTTCGTCATGCCCATGCGTCACACCCGCTTATAGGGTGGAACCATTCAAACATTCATTCATCCACAGATCCTAATTTTGACCTGAAACAGAGAGCGATCAATCTCCAATCCAATACTCTCAGCGGTATAATTTGTTAGAGGGGCATGGAGATCTTTGTGACCCGAAAGATTTTACGTGCACCAGTCACCATTTACTACACAGAGTCTTCGGCCAGCTGAATTCAAACCCCAGTTCTTATGAAAGATTCCAGCACCCTACCAACCAGACTATCCCAGTTCAACGCAAACAATTAAAAATTAAATATAATTCGGAAATATTCCCTCGAATAATATTCTATCTTCGTCTATCTGCCTACATTTATTTAATGTTAATTTAATATTAGGTTAATGTTTGTCTCAAAAGTGTAGATTTTTCGAAAGCATCGATTTTTCCTACATCAAAAGTTTAAACAAAGCATACCAGCAATATATTACTGCCACCTAGTATTTTATTTTCAAGCAACAAACAACTGTATTCGTAAATGTTAGTTAACTTAACTACAGTATGTTACTACCAAGTATCTGCTTGCAACAAAGCTACAAACAGTGTCCGTACATATTACTAACTTGGTTACTACAATATGTTACTGCCAAATATTTCCTAGCAACAAAGCTACAAACAAATGTATTCTTACACATTGATGAACTTTGTATCTTTACCTTTGTAGAGTTGAGTATCCCTGTCGCATAACTCTTCCAGTAGAGGTTGCGCTTTCTTCAGTACCAAAGCATGTCCACAAAAATCTTGCTCATCTGGGGGAAATTCCTCTTCGTGCTCTTTGACGCATTTGTAGTATTTTTGAACATTGCTTCAAATAGACATTTTATTACATAGAATATTTAAGGATTGATTTAAAATGGAAACTTGTTATATGAATCATGATCATAAGCACAAAAAAATGCAATACTTCATGTATGGTTGGTTGAAAATTTAGTGCATAAATTGAAAGGGGGGGGGAAGACAATAGAGTGATGAGCCAAATTTTTACCACTTTCACATCAAATTGTTCTTTATTACTTCCAGGTTGCCCCAAGTTTTTTTTAATTATTGAAATTAACAATGAATTAAATTTATTGTTAACTTTAAAATACTTGATTTATAAACTTTTCCTCATAATTTGATTTATAAAGGTTTTCTTTTCCTAATTTTTGTCCCAAGTTTTTAACAACCGATTGAATGAAAGTGAAATATGTTAATGCTTTTTAGTTTTAAGAGGTGGAAAAATTTGTTTTAGAAAAAAAGCTTTTGCTCAAAATATTGCACACTTAACTTTAAGTAGATGTGATAAAAATTTTATTCAGTATTGTGAATAGTTTGGCGAAACGCATAGTAGCATTAGAGCATGATGCAGCGATGCGAGCACCAAGCACAAGTTCTCAATGTAACGAAATCAAAAATTATCAAACTTAAAAACAAGTTGGGCGTTTCGTGAAAGGGAGGATCAATATGATGCTCTGTTTTCGTAGAGTAAGTAAATATGTAGCATAAGGTATACATGATACATTTAGAAATCATTATGGACTTTTATGCCAGAAACTGACACAAAATCATTAAAATAAATTTGATTCAATTCCTTAAAAACCTCAAAATACGCATTTTCTATGTGTGAAAGCATTTCACGTGTCTCTTTGAAAAGCGGAAACAGTCAAGACTTAAAAATTCAGCGATGACTTAAGTTCAAATTACACGTTCGCAAAAGTGAACGCAGCCGTTTACGAAAATAAACATAGCTTTCGAATCAGTTTTTAAAATTAATTATTGTGATTATAATTCTTTCTTTTTACGAATAAACTATTAAATCTTATTTCAAAAAATATAGTCTATTTAAATAAACCACTTAATATATTTCATAGAATTATTACAAGGTTGTTAATGGGGCTATAAGTTTTAAATAATGGTAGTAAATTTGCGCTTTATGAATTTAGGGTTCTAAAACTCATTTTACCTTTTGGAGTTCTGAATTTGAAGACTTCACCTAAAATTATCTAAAATATACCTAACCAACAAGATCCCAAAGTCCAAGATTTCGGTCCTGTAATGATTAAGCTTAATGCTTAAATAGGTAAGGAAAAATAAGCATATAATTCCTCACTCAGTAGTTAAATTTTGATTAAATCGGCAATCGGAGCAAAAAAAATTGGTTTGGAACATTAGTTAGCAATTCACCATCAAGATGTTAAACATGCAATTTTTTCCACCAGATTCACCACAGACAACATAGGTAAATTTATCCCAATACTTGACCCGGAGTTCCCCCTTGTCTTCTGGATTGGGTTCAAAATTACAAGGTTACGGAGTTGAACATTAGTAGTCGTAAACCCAAAATTAGGTCAGCTGTTAAACGATGGTTATAAAATTGCAGTAATGCTTGAAATTATGCTTGCTTTAATGATTAGAAAAAAAGCTTTCAGAATTAACGATTACGAACTACTGAAAATAAACTGAAGACTTTAGAAGCAAACAAATTAGATTTTTCAAATGAATCTAAAATCTAAAGCAAGCAGCATATTGACATTATACCCAAAATTTATTTGTATCATTGTAATTTGGGATTCCCAGAATTAAGATTTTCTGAAATGTTACTTACTAACAAAACCTTGCAAGTTGAATTTCATCAAATGGGACATACACTTTAGTAATGTCATATTGACAGACATCGATTGGATCTAGACCACCGCAAGATTGTAGATCTGCTTTTAGTGCTGAAAGAGAAAAAATATCTTATTGAGTTTGTTCATGAAAACGGACAATATGTTTATGGTTACAGTTACTTTACTTAAGCACTTGCAATTAATGTCATTTTTTTAAATTTCGCTCACCGTACACCTTAATAACTTTTTATCCAATGATCCAGATTTTCACGTAATGAGATTCAATTCTAATAACATGAGAGGTTACCCTTAATTATATTAATTTGTGATATATACATTTTTAATTATGGAATTAAACATTTTCTGAATAAACATTTTTTTCGATGTTTTGATTTTCTACACCCTCCAATCTGGCAAATATTAGCAAATTGTGGTCCATTAATGCATTTTTTGCGTATTTTGCAGCATCAAGGGAACTTTTAAAATGATTTGAAAAACGCCTGCACATCATTATAGAACTATTTTATCGAAAGAGAAACTCCCGAAAAACTCTTTTACATTCATTATTTATTACTTAATATAAAATTGCTCGAAACAATTTTTAATTGCAAGGAACTAATTTTTAGTTAACGGTCTTATAAAATCATAAAATAACATAAAATACGTTATTTCCTATCAATTGCATTAGTTTTAAAATAAATATGAAAAAAAATGATCTTTCAAAAAAAAATATCTTAAAAACTTCGAAAACGTTGATAACAATTTTAGCATATTGGTACCAAAATAAAGCACCAAAGTATTTTTAAAAGTCTTACCAAACTATAGTCATAAAGACTTTTAATGTTAAAATACTGAATTGATGATAACTTGAAATAATTAATGAACTTAGTTAGGTAGACTTTGTGAAAAATCTAATAACCATAGTGAAATTCTGAAATGAAGATATTTCATTGATTTGTCCTTATTTTTATTATTTTCTTTAAACCACCAATACATTTGCCAAATATTACGTTACGCAAATTAATTCATTAATTTCACAAAATGCATGGAAACTAAATAAAAGCATAAAAATTTCAGATATATTTTGCAGAACAAGTTTCTGCTTTAAGTTCTCATGCACGCAGTGTTTGTCTTTTAGATGAAAAAAAAAATGCAGCAATTTTAACATCAAATAATGATAATAGGTTGAAAAATAAAGCTTTGGAACACATTCCGATAAGACTACGTAAAAATAAAATACCAACTAGTTCTTTTAAAAATTCACTATTACTACACGTACGTTTGAACAAAAAATTTTTTAAAGAGAATAATGAATACTAGTTTTGTACATTGCCAGACATTAAAAATAGATTAAATATCGCTTGTTACTTTCTAAAACTACTATATTTTGTATAGTTTAAAAATACATAAGAAGATGCATGTTGAAAAATATTCAGTAAATAGTTCGTAAATTTGATTCTTCTTATTTCATTTTAAGTATTTACAATATAAAATTCAATTTTATATAGTTTGATAATGTAGTTAAAGTAACTATTCGTAGCCATAAAAGTTGTAGTTAGATAAGAAATAAAAAAATGTTTTAAGTAATAGTTATATATTTTATAACGCTTTTTGTAACTTTTACGAACCTGTTTAAATCAACCTTTTCATGGCTATAGAAAATTCTTAATCAAGTTCAGCTACGAGTTGATAAAATTAGCATTTGCTTTAAGAGTAAAAAATTTTATCAATAAAAAAGGGGCTATAATAAATAATACAAGCAGTGAAGGTTAAAAATGAATTCCTTATTTTTCTTCACAATTTTGTTTTTCGGAAATAAAGCTTTCTCTGTTAAGGGATCAGTACAGTTGAACTGAACTATTCTGTGTTTATTGTGTTAAAATCATTTATATAACGCCATTTTGTATTTTTGATCACGATTCGAATGAATATTTTTAATTTATTGGGCAGCTAATTTATAACTTAAAGAATTCTGTTGCGGAGTTGTTAGGTCAGATAGCTTGAATTAAATTATTTCATCCGGCGAATTTTGATTTATTATATTGAAATATCGACAAGAAATTAAGCAAAGAAGGGCTAAAATTTAACAATTACTAAAAATATCAGAAAAAAATTTAGATTTAAAACAAAATAGGAAATGGAGATTGTTTTCATAAAAAATAGCTTTTAATTAAGAAATGTATAAAACATTAAACATTGCTTTATATTATAGACAAATTTTACTTTTGAATAAGTATAGTCAAATTAATGAAAATAAATGATATGCGTTAACGCAAGTTAAAATCTCATACCCTTAATAACAAATAGAAGGAGTAGAGTTGACCAAAACATCTTGATTAAGTAAAAGAGAAGGTTCGGAAAATTTTAACTGCACTAATTTATACTTTTAGATTGAAGTTGGAGTTATAGTAGGGAGATATCACTCGCTTATTCTTTGTTAGTTTCGTCGGGCCAAGGAGTTTTGTCCTTCCATGAAAAGCTTTGAAAAATTAAGATAGTAGGTTCAATTCTCAATGTTAATCTGGGTGCATTATTGTGCTGCTCTTCTCTCCCTTATGCAATTTATTCATTCATTTGACAAGATTTTATAAGACAATATTTGTATTGAGCACATTAACCTGTACATGTTGTATATGTATATAAACAAATAAACAAGTAAACGGATTTAATTACATCGCTGGATTGATTGGTTTGGTTACTTAGTGCATCTCTGTGCAGTCCTTCTCTCATTTGGCTATGATCAACACGAAAACCTATTCAAAAATTTAGTGCTCTTTTTGGGTTTAACTAAGTGATTCTAGTCCCCAACCTACTAATCTTAGACGTTCGTAAATACAACAAATTTCAAATTTATACAGGTGTAGCCTCCCTGGTCGCCTGAGAAAAAAGGTGTTTCTGTTAAGGTTGGTTGGTTGGTTGTTAATTTACGGCTACTTTAATCACAATGGGCTATTGGCGACGGTCTGGGAAGCATCCCTGAGGATGATCCGAAGACTTGCCATCACAATTTTGATCCTCTGCAGAGGGGATGGCACCTCCGCTTCGGTAGCCCAACGACCTGTACGCGAAGTCGAGCACTTTACGGCAGACAGTTTAACGAGGACCCATACCGCACACTCTCGGTCCCTATGCAGACTGATCCAAGTGGTCACCCACCCACACACTGACCGCAGACAGTGATGCTTGACTTCGGTGATCTGCTGGGAACCGTGTCTTAACGATCAGTCCACTGCGGGACCTGTTAAGAGTTTTTATCTCTGACGGATGTGTATCTCCAAAAGTGTTTGAATCATCCTTATCTGCCTTATCTTCCTTATCTGCAAATTAAGCATCGAAAAAGCTCTGTGTTCCCTTTTCACAATCATCTTGTAACTTCACTTCTTTGTCATCATCAAATCAGCAAATCCCTGAATTCAACTCACCCCAACTCAAAGCAAAGAGGATAAAAGGCAAGTAGCAAAGATCCTCTTCATAACCTACAACTCATCTCAACTCAGTTCTCTCATTTGCGCTATCTGTTCATTAATTTGTATGAGTTTGAAGGACATTCTTCAAAAGACCTCGCTTCCCGAGATCATTGAAAATCTTCTCCTGCTCAATCAACAGCTGCCTCGAGGAGACTCCTAAACAGTTAAGAAGTTAATCAGGACTGGCAGGAAGGGAGCAAGGAGAAAAAAATCTTTTCCCCATTCTGAAATTTCATGCATTTCAAGTCACCACTTCAGAATCTTGCAATGGCTGAATATAGCATCCTGGGGCAGCTGCATAACAGACAGAGGCCCGGACCCTTTTCAGTGTGCCAGTTATGAACTGGTGTTAGGCACCATATTAAAAGTAAATTACTTTTGTGGAATGAATGGATTTACGAAGGAGTTAGCTCAACTGAATTGGCGATCGAAAAATCACAACCATTTCTAGTAAGAGTTTCTGCAATCTCATTACCGCACACCCCAACGAGCAAAGGAATCCACTGAAGGCATACCGATTTCTTCAGGCCTAGCTCGGAGAGAAGTACTAGAAAATCTTCGTCAGGTTTATCATATATTTTCGGCCAATTTTTCAGGCATTGGGTGGCCCTTTTACTGCCAGTCCTTTTACTGTTAAAAATCCAAATACTGCTATAATCAGTAGTAAGGGCAAACTGAAGAGCCTTTTCTATAACAATAATTTCTGCCCTGAAAACTGAGCAAAAGTCAAAGTTACGAATACTAAATTTAATTTCCTCCACGGAGTTGGTGATGTAAACACCACTCCCATCTCTACCGTCTTCAAACTTGCTGCCATCCGTGTAGATGGTAGGTAGATACTTTAATTAACGTCGCACTAGAGTAGCACAATAGGCTAGCGATGGTTTGGGAAACATCCCTGAAAATGTACCGAAGACACGCCGTCGCAATTTTGATCCTCGGTAGAAGGGATGGCTCTCGTGCTTTGGTAGCCCGACAACCTGTGCACGAAGTCGAGCACTTTACGGTAGAGCAGTTTAACGAGGACCAGTACCGCACACCCTTGATACCTACGCAAGTTGATGAAAGTGGTCACCCACCCTCTTACTGACCTTAGCCAGTATTGCTTGACTTCAGTGTTCTACTTGGAACCGTGTCTTTACGATCAGTCGAGTGCGGGACCCATCCGTGTAGGTAGCCATGGCCTGAGAAAGAATATTATTAATGACCTCTAGAGCAAACTGTTTTCGAAGTTCAGGATGATTCCCTTGCTTACAAGCACGAAATTTCAAATCCTCATTGAATTATTGATTACTTAGTGTATCTTAGTGTATAGTGTGGCTGGCTTCTTTCATTTGCTCTATCTTCTCATCAACTTTACAAGATTTCATAAGTAAGTCTTTGCATTGAGCACATAATCTTATATATATGTATTGAATAAATAAACAAGTAGATTGGTTTGATTATTTGGATAGACTTAATTTATGTGACTGAAACATGAACTCGACTCCAATTCCAATGCTCATTGTCGAAATTTACAGAAGATAAAGCCTTTTTCATATCACATCCTTTTGCAAAGGCGGTAGCAGTAGTATTTTATTTACATAGCATTAGAGTTGTAAATCGAACTATGCGACGCCCTGCAGTTGTAAATCACTGTGTGAAGTGTGAAGGTAGCGAGTTCGAATCCCGCTATCACCCTGGATGTATCTTCGTGCCGTCCTTCTCTGTAGTGTGCTATCTGTCCTTCTACTTGACAAAGGATTATAAGCTTTAATTTAGCTCACAAGCCTGCAAATGATTGTTGTACCAATAAATGAATGCGAAATATCAATAATAAATCAATCAGTAAGTACTTAGAATGTTATTGAACACACAGACCTACGTGCATGCGTACCAATAAAAAATTAGCAAACATTTCTTAATTATAATTTAATGCAATCGTATATGTGTTGTTGTTTTTTTTTAAATAGAATTTTGTAAAAAGAGTAAATGTAAGTAAGTATTATCGTAATTTATTTTGCTGCGTTATTAGTTACTATTTGTTAAAATAATTATTCTCAATATTTATAATTTTTTGTGCATTTTGTTAGTTTTGAAAAAAGAAATCCTTCTTGATTTTGTGACAAATACCATTTGTTATAAATTGGAATTTTAAATACGTACATAAATACTTTTTAAACATTAAGTGCATGAAATAAATAATTTCTTAAAAATAACTTCTTCATTTACACAAATTCTTCTTTTAATAATTTCTTTTTTGCTCTTTTACTGTCTGCAATTGTCACAACTTTTATTTTGTTGTTAGGTTTTGTAAAGAAAAAAAATCACTATCTTTATTTCGAGAAAGTAATTTCAAGTTTGTTGAATTTGCTCGTAGCAAGTTTATTTTTCTTTCAACATTTACAAGTTTTGGCAAGTTTGCACTTTTTATAAAGCACCGTTATCACTATTTTTTTTAAAAAAATTTGAAATTTATTATTTGCTATTCTATTTAGATTCTTACTGGCCAGCTTACTACTACGCTTTCAGTAAAATATTTATACAGTGGTAAACATATAAAAATCAAAGCTTTTATAATTTTTGCTAGCTTTACACACATTTTAAAATCCTCAATACGAAAGAGCTGGATTAAAGTGGCGTTGCATATGAACTTTAAAATCATTTATAAATAGTGGTGTGGAAAATAAATTTAAATGGAAAGAAAATGATACATTAAAACAATTACTTACCTACCACCAGAATAAATTTTTACAAAAAGCGCAAAAAGTCAGCAGCCATATGTTCTTACTATTTCTTAGTGAAAAAAGTTTTAGTTACTTTCAATAAGTATAGGGACTTAAATAATCATTACCTTCTATACAAAATATGTAAATTTAATTAAATATGTAAAAGTCAATTTTTATTTAAAAACGTTCTTAATTTGAAATCGAATTTATTGCGGAAAATTTATACTCTACGTGAACTACGCCATTAAGAATAACCTTGAAGATGATTTTAGAATATTGACCTATTTTGACTGTTATTTAATGATAACATATTCATTCTAATTAAGTAAATGAAGTTCTTGAATCTCTAAATCTTTATAAATTGTTACTTTGTTATCGTAATCAGAACGTATTTGTGTCTACAGTTTCTCAGAATAACGAATACATATGAAAGTGAACTTTCAACTTTTGGGAAATGACTTACAATGTGTGCTTACAGTTGCTTGTGATTTTCGAGTTTAAATTCACTGTCCGTAAATAAACATTTATTAGAGGAAAGTCACTATTTAAGATTAATGTTAACTTTCACGGATGTTTAAAATGTTATGAATTTATAATAGTTCCAAAATTATAGTTTATTGGCGTTACATAATGATTCAAAACTGTCAACGAAACGACATGAAAGAAAGGAAGTATCGGAATTATGTTAAATGTACACGAGTCAAGTCATTGTTAAATACTTTATTAAAAATATTTTAAAAAAAGATAAATAACAAAATCTAACAATATCTAATTATATATA